GGCTATCTTTGGAGTAGTGAGATGTAGTGGGTATCTTCTCCCCCCCAAAAAATCTCACAAACGATGCCCTCTAACAAATTGCTGCGATGCAATGGACCACGTGGTGGGGCGCCCTGAGGAAGTGTTGACCGCCATGGAAAATCTCAACCGGACACACATGGTGCGCCCGGGATCGCTGGTGGTTCGTTGTGGTGTTCCCGAAGGAAGCGCGGAGAAGTGGCCGAACTGGGTCCTTTGGTCGTTGCAGGGTGGTAACAGGTGGTTCTCTCTTTTTCCCACTGGGATCTCTGATTCCGCATGTTGGGGGCTTCAATGATCTATCAACCGAAAGGTGGACCGGACTTCTGGTTTGTTGGGAATTCAGCTCAAACGAGAACACCCAAAAAGTTCAAAGGCCAGATCTTAATCCGACAGTCATGAACACGGACTGAGTCATAACCGTAAGTAAGGATTTCAGTGATTCAAGTTGCCTCAAGAGGAGAGACTGAGAACCAATCGTTGGACTTGGTGAAACTGGAGTTCCCACCTACGCATTCCCGGTCATGCAGCTGTCGATCCTGTTGCGTGCTACCGGGGGTGCCTGGTGGCGACGGGTGTCCGTCGGGATCCCAAGAACTTCACCGCACAGCTGCACAGCTGTGGGGAATTGGATCCCTTATGTGACATACCTGATGTGACTCATGTTTTTTTGGGGATCATATGTCAAAGACCAACGCCAAGTGCAACAAGCGTTTTTGCTGGAGCCACAAAGCCATTGCTGGATTCTTTCGGTCTTAAGTTAAGCTTTTTTTTGCAGGGCCCTATGGGTGTGTGTTGATCAGCCACCCGACAGTTGCTTTCAGCTTGAGGGAGGTGGTTTCCACCTGTGTCCAGGTGTCGACATCGATTCTACTTGACAAGTAGGTGTCAATGGATTTCGATTATCACACCTCAAAACAATGGTTGCCAGACCCCATCCTGGTAGATCCTAGCTTCTTCGTTTTCATGTGTTTTTTTCCGCTCCAATTGCTCGGATCGCCATCGGACTCAACCGTCCGTCGGTTCGAACGTACCGCGCTTGCCCGCGGACAGCGACGCACCTGGACCGCAGAATGCGCCGTCGCGGGCGATCTGCGCCCGTGGCAGGTTCTGAAGCCCATGGTGCCACAGATTGGCGTGGCTGCTGCCGTGCGCTTGGATCGAAAGCCCGAGAGCCCGGAATCGAAAAGGGCTGCGCCGCGGAGGATGATCGAAATGACCAGCTGTTAGCGTGTTAACACCTGGGATGGGCTACAAAAAGATCAAAAAGGGGGTAGGAAGCTTGGGTGGTCGTCACGCTTGCCAGACACATGAATCATTCATAGTCATTCTGAATGACTTGAAAATTGTGGACGCGCGCTTTCCTACTGTTGAGTTGTTGGCGACCGGCCAAAGCACCAGTTGGATCTGCCAAATGATGAGTGTTCAAAGCTCACCACCAACGGTGCAGCCGAGCGGTCCTCCAACTGGCCAAGAGAAGTGACATGAACTTGCGCAGGTTTCTGAAGCACTGGGTGTTTGGGTGTTATTCTTTTTTGTGTTCTGCACTTCTTACAGCCTTCTCAGCCATATGGTCGGTCTGTGCCAGCAGCCTGTACATGGTGGATGTTTGGGAGACAGAGGAAGAAACACGGGTTGGTGAGATTCTGGACACTGGTCATGCTTTTGCATTGGTTTACTCCAGGATGTTTGTATACGATTTCATGGTTATTCTTCATTTCTCAGTCCGATCCCCTAAACTCAATTCTCCATGGGGCTCTTGTCTCAAGCTTTTGAAGCTCAATGTGTCACGTTCTCATCCATCGTTGGCTGAGAACTTCGACCCCACCCTCGCTCGCGCGGAATGCGGAACGCGTGGGCGTGTTTGTCACGATGGACGAGCATGGACGAGCCGCGAGGCCCAACTTGGTTCCTGAGGTGCAACAGGAGACGGGTCGGCAAGAAGCTACTAGGGGCTCCTGGCATCGCTACTAGGAACAAGGACGCTACTAGGGGCTCCTGGCCTTACTACTAGGAGACGGGTCGGACGGCTCGTTGGCGGAAGGTCTCATCTGGCCGGACGTTTTTGGGTTCGGGGCACCTCCCTCATCGCAGGCAGGGACCTAGGTCAAGTGCATGCGGTTTTCGGTGATTTAACCCGCACGGGAAATAACAGTCACTCCAACCAAAACCAAGGTGGAGTTCGGGGGATGTGTTCACGTAGATGGCAGTTAATTACTGTGCCTTGTGTTTGAGCTAAACCAAGTGAAATACACAAGACTCAATGTTTCATTGAGAAGGACTTAAACATACTTAAACAATTTTGGGACCATGGTTTAAGCTGGAAGACTTTCAAGCTCCAGGAAAAAAAAACTACCTCTGCGGAGGAAAGTGGTTATCCAAGGAGCATCACGTGGCCATTTTCCACTCTCATGTATTCTACTACCCCAGCGCGCTGGTATGGAATCTTTTCTTTCTTGTTGCTTTTGACTAGGGCCTTCCGGGGCTTCTGGAAAATAGGTGTTTCTTTGCTTCTCTTAGAATGGATCCCAAACATACAATCTGAGCCGGTGCGCCGGGTATGCAAAGTGCACTTGTGTTTCTATTAGGGCTTTCGTATCGTTTGCCAACAACCAAACATTGCTTTCCTGAGTGCTTTGGGGAGGCGGCCTCTAATAACCTAATTCATTTGACCCGGCGTGGCGGGTATGGGATGTTTCTTTCTTGCTTCTGCTAATTGTACGGGTTTCCAGGACGTTTAGAACACAAGTCTTACTCTTTGTTGTGAGACTAGCAGAATCTAGCCCAGCGCGCTGGTATGGAATATGTATGGAATATGTTTTTTTGTTGCTTTCATTAGGGGCAGAGCCTTTGGACAAAGGATCCAAAAATACAATCTTACCCGGCTTGCAGGGTATGTAAAGTGTATCCGTGCCGTTTGAAGACAGACATCAAACATGACTTGCCTTAATGCTTTAGGGAAGCTCCAAAAACATACTCTGACCCAGCGCGCGGGGTGTGGAATGTTTTGCTTTCTTGTGTCTACATGTGTCTACTAATTGTCTAACCAGTGAAGGGGACTACCACTTAATGACCTTGGTGACCGTGATCAAATAGTACAAAGGCGGTGCAAAAGCTGCCCTGCATGGGCTGGCCAGATGCCTTGCGAGGTGCCAGTGTGTTCTTTGGGAGAATGTTCTTTCAGGAGAAGAAATCCATGGCATCGCTGCATCGCTGGAACTGCTAGCTCGGACAAAGCAGCTTGGAATTGTCGTGGGTGGAGATTGTCCGGGTGGCCAAGCGAGCGACCGCAAGGAGTGCGTTGGCGGCGACTCCACAAAGGCTTTAGCAGCCGACCTCAAGAAGACATTTCCAGTTTTCTGGCGCGCTGCGCTCGAATGTGTTGAGCCGGATCAAGATGAGATTGCCGAGCACCTCCTTGAAGCTATGGAGATGTTCCAGCTGGAGAATGACATGGAACGCCCTCCTTTGCCATCGACTTGGTTCCGGGATTCTTTTGAGGCCAGTTGCGCTCCTTATCGTAGCCATTTTACAATGTTTACAATATATTTTTTTTTTTTAGTTGTCCCCTTGAAGCTGTTCTGGGTAGAGGGAGAGCATTCCACAAATTAATCCGTAATTCGTAGGGCAGGGACATTCTGCAATATTTTCCTCATAAAATTGGCTTGCAGCTGTTCTGGGTAGGGACACTTCCCACTAATTACCCCGTAAATTAGTGGGAAAGATCAATTTGATAATATTATCGTTCTTATAAGGGAGAACTTTCCACAAATTGATATGTAATTAGTGGAAAAGGGCAGATTTATGTTACAATAAATTTTCCTATAAAGTTGATTAATCCGTGATAAAAAAGCATGATGTTTTTTTCCAGATAAAGTTGTCCCCCTAAAGCTGTTCCGGCAGAGGGAGAACTTTCAACATATCAATCCGTAATTAGTGGGAAGGGCCGTTTTACATGTTTTTCTTATAAAGTTGTCCCCTTGAAGCTGTCCCCAGGAGGAGGGAACCTTCCCACTAATTCACCCGTATTGGTAATTAGTCAGGTCAAGAGCTGCATTGCATTCAGTGATGGGTCGTCAAACAAATATGTTTGTCCTGGAGATATGTCACGTGGCGATTGCTTCAGCCCCATCTTGGCGCTTTCCTTCTTCTCCCTGCAGATATGAACTTTGTGGAAGAACTTTGGTGGTTGCCCTTCTTCGATCTTCTCCGTAGTGTTTTTGCTTGTCATTTCTTTTGTGTCATGTTTTTCTTTGGTACGACATATCCGGCTGGCAGGGCTGCAAGGTTCCCATCCTTCATCCACTCTGAACGGAAGTGCTGATTTGTTCTGACGGAAGTGGTTTCAGTGTCAAGCGCCTGCTTGACACTGAAACAGGCGCTTGACACTGAAACCACTTTCTAAGCACTAGTAAACAAGAAACTACTAGTAACAAGGTGCATCGCTACTAATAACACGTGCATCACAATAATACCTAGTTTACTACTATAGTAATAAGAAGTTACCAGTAGCCAAGGGCATCGCTACTAGTAATAAGAGATCCTTTTCCTCAGGTGCATGCAGTCACGGCAGTCACGGAGCTCAGCGCCTTTGCCAATAATGTTCCTCGAATTGTGAGACTAAAGTGGATGCTTTGATTCTGCGTTTATGAGCTTGCTCACCACATAAAGCCTGCTCTATTTTGTTCTGTTTTTTCTACATTAGGCCCACTGGATGGAGCACAGGCACAGCAGGAGCTGAAGCACAAATTACGATCTTTTGATCTCAAAATGACTGACATGACGTGAGCCTGCCTGAAACTTGTTGATCATGGACATGTTTCAAGTTCTTCGAAATCACAATTCCCACCTGCTCACTCGGCAGCCCTTATGCCATGCCCCACCAGTATCAGGTACGTGACATACGTGGATATTCAGCAGTCAATCCAAAGGGCTCCCTCAAAAGAACCACAAAAAACACCATTTTTTTTCCGCTGCAGGAGATGTTGCTTTACGCCTGGAATCGCACCCGGCTCTTCGGCTGCGCAGGGATGGCGGGGGACCTCAGCACCGATTGCGAGGGATCGGATCGGAGCTTTGGTTCGTTTGAGGAGCTTAGCACAGCGACGGTTTTAGCACCTGTTCCAAAAGGTGGAAAGCAGTTGTTTTCTCTCAGTTGCAAGGCTTAAGTTTGATGGTGTGGGAGGGGACGTTTCATATTTGAAGTGCAAACGCATATGTATATAACAATATTATGTCTTTATGTTGGTTTTGATTGCAGGAAGATGGTGAACCTGACTTAAGGAGTTTGTGAAGAAGTAATTTGTGTACAAAATATGCTTTGGGATTGAGTATTTACTTTACAGATCATCAAGGCCTACCAACCATGACCACTTGCAGATGTGCGGATGTTGGTGACAAAGATGAGTTCTGAGTTTTCCCAAATAAATGTTTGCGCTTTGGGAGTCCAATCCATCAGCCTCCCCATTGAAGATACTGACCTATCCAAGAGTCGAAGGCAGTTTGGGGGACTTGGTGTCGTTCACCCAAAGAGCCTTCATCGACCGCCAGCGGCAGACCTAATGGGAGAAGTGTGGCGAAGAGCATGGACGAATGGAGAAGAAATGGTTTGATGCAAACAGAAGTTCAAAATGGTTGTCATCGTCCTCAAAACAATAGCAGCAAGAATGGGTAAAACATGGTAAACCAGATAAACCCCCAGTGGACAAGGGAAATATCTACCAAGCTGCCAAGTCTTCGACACTCTTCGGTTTCACCGCTTCGTCACCACGGTTTCACCGCTTCGCTCAGATTGTGGATGAGTTCGCAGATGACTGGGGTCGTAGCACCTCCAAAGAGTGCCAGGCGCTTGGCCCTGTAGCACTCGGCCCTGTGGCACACGGCTGTGAACTAGTGCACGTATTACAGAATTGTGGCTTTGACTCTCATTGCGATGATCGAAACGTGTCCCTCCAAAAGACTTTGCATTGCAGGTCCTGCACGCAATGGCTACCCTATATATAGTCATCCGAAACTAGCAAAGAGTGATAGACATACCTTTGTGTTTACTCTTATCACCTGGGTATACGCATGTTCATTTCTGTCTAGGGCGATGTATAGATGTCCTGACAAAATGTCCTATAACCTGCAAATTGTGTGCATTCTCGGGCTTCTTGAAACAATCTTCCACCAATTGGGCCGCAATTTGCTTTGCAGACCAACGGCGACAGCGACATCATGCAGACTTTCTGTGGAGAGCCGGGAGCCTGTGCGTATGGCTTTGTGATGTTCCTACACACAGACAACCCTCTAAATGCTTGCTTGGGCTAAAGATGCGGAAGCAAGAAGTTGAACAATGGAGCATCCTCCAGGAGAACAACTGAACAGTGACCACATACTTCAAGCTGTATACTTGGAGTCTCAAAGTACTTCGGAAAATTGGTACAAGTACCATCAAGTATATATATATATACACCTGTTTTTACAGGGTAATGTAGTAATGTGCAATGTTCTACAGTAATAGAATTTGGCCCAAGACCGTGGGTGATGGAGGACCTTCCGGGCAACCGATGGGGGGGGTAAGAGGCCGACGTTTTTCGGTGTGGAGCATCAGAAACGACTTCTAGCTACTAGTAACAAGTGCATGGCTAGTAGTAACAAGAAGCTACTAGGGGCTGCTGGCATCGCTACTAGGAGCAAGGACGCTACTAGGGGCTCCTGGCCGTACTACTAGGAGCAAGAAGCTACTAGTAACAAGGGCATTACTAGTAGCGATGCCCTTGTTACTAGTAGCGATGCCCTGGTTACTAGTAGCTTCCTTGTCCACAGCAATTGATGTCTGGAACATTTGAAATTTGCCAACATTGAGCCACGGGAATGTACCAAAAAATGATTCCATGCTAGGATTGCTGGGTATTGATTTTGACTTGCTGATCCATTTCCCCTTTGATTTAGCTCTCCGACCCAAGTCAAAGAACTGAAACCAATCAACTCAGCGCATCACAGCAGAGTTCCTGGGACTAACATGAGACACAAAGGGATGGTTTTTCGATCGATTTGGAGTTGTCTTAGCACATGGCCCATCCCAACCTGCTTGTTACCTGAAGCTATGTGGTGAGCACCTTGCCCGAGCTCACTAGGTCACTAGGATTGTCTCACAACTGTTGTACTGATGGGCCAGGCTTAGTGGCCAAAGTGGTGGCTAAAGGCGCTAGAGCGGACAAAACAGTGGGGGGAGCAACGGCTGCCGCAAGGTGGCAGGATGCAATTGGCCTTGGAACCATCAGTTCACTGCGCAAATCAATCCAGGTAGATGTCCCGGGGAGTCGCATGATGTTCTTGGGATTCGCATGGTGCTGAAGCTGCAGTACACACTGCCTGGCAATGCTTTGGAAGGCAGACCAGGAATGCCGCCTATGGTTTCCTCAAGGTTTATTTTACCAAGTCGAATGCCTTCAATTACACTGTTGACAAGGCAGCATGGCCTTTACAAGGTCCGCCATTTGCCAGAGCTGCTTGAATGGTGCTACTCCCACCCTTGCGATTTTCTTCGCATGTGAAGTTGCCAGATGCGAATCTCATGCTCAACGATTGGAACGAAGCTCAGGAAGCTCCAAACAGATTGAGGAGTGGTGTTGTTCTTTGGCTTGCCAACATTGGGATCCATGGGGGCGGAGGGGCTTTCATTTCCAAATCTGGAGTGCAACAGGATGACCAGCTAGGGCCTCTCTCCTTGTTCTGTGGCCCCGCGGGCGCTGTCGATGTGCTATGGGCGCGCCTAGCCCCCGTATTCCCAGGCTTCGGCATCGTTCAGGTGCTCTTCTGCAGACTGCAGCGGTGTACATGAGACAAGATGACGTACAATTCCGTAAAAGGGTAGAAGAAGGAAAACAACAACATATATATATATAATAAATATATATAGTAGTATTACCGGCCTTCTTTACCGGCCTTCTTGACCCTGTTACAATTCAGTAAAAGTGGCTTGTTTCAGGGCAGGCCGGCGCGGCCGCCTATGACTTCCAAGATTGGGGGGCCCGCGGTTTCCGCTGAGTGAGTGCACAAAACAAACTGCATTCTCGGCGATTAAAGCCATGAGAGGTTGTTTGTTGAGAGTTGAGTCAGTTTAGTCAGGTTGAATTCTCAATTCTAGTTGAGTCCGTTTGATGCCCTGACAGAAAAGCCACAAATCAACAGCTGCTAGTGAACTGGAGTAACTGGAGCAACCAGTTCGCACCCTCGCCGCTGCCTTTGACCTCGCAGTGGTGGCCGCACCAGGCCGTCTTCTCGCACAGTGAGTGCTGGGCGTGTGCCGAGTTTCCTCCAGAACAAACAAACATCAGAATCAGAACACATGAATGATTTGGCAATCAGGGTTGCAAAGCAATGCATCAGGGTTGCAAGCATGCGCCCCTTGGCGGCTGGATGAACTTCTGGCTTAGTGGCCCCCGCAACTTTTCATATACTGTATCATTGTATTCATTTGTGCGTTTTGTAAAGAGGTGTGTTTGGTGGGTTACTTCTCAGCGAATTGCTTGGGTGATATTGCACCAAGCTAGATCAACATGTTTTTTTCGTAAGATCGGTGAGCTTCTCTTGGGACTTTAGAAGCTGTTTGGGAGACCTGATCAAACCCCGGTCAGACGGGAGCATCCTCCTGAGGCCCTCAGGCCTGCTGAAGGAGACAGACGCAGGGGATCCACAGACTTGCCGAGCGCTCTGGGATGTGCTGAGCTTTTATAGAGGTGAAACGGAGACCTTCTCTGGGAAGGCATCCTGGATCATGAGGTTGTTTATGTTATTTTTATATCATCATGTGTATTTAGCTATAATACAAGCTCGCGATGTCAGAGAAACTCATTCAAGAAGATGTCTTCGCGCACATCGTCATTCTTGGCCTTCGGTAGGAACCCCCTGTTGACACCCTTACTCACCGCACCTGCGGATGTCTTTCGACCTGACAGGGAGATCGCAGACCGGTCTCATTGGATGAGTGGTTTCTGCGGTGAAAACGCAGAGAACTCGTGCTGGGGGTCTTTCTGCGCTCGTTATTCATGGTGGAGTCTTCCTTGCACAGAGGACATCATCGGACAGGTGGGCGGAATTGGCGATGCGATTCAGGACTTGGGTGTCCTGATCCTTTCTTTCTGCCAATCTACAACCAGGGGCAAGCTACCTGTAGCTGGCTTTATTTGTTGTTTTCGATTGGGGTCAGGTGGGATTTGTCAATGTCCATCCCTGGGTGGTTCAGCCTGGCACACAACGAACTTGGTCCTGGCACACTCACAGCTTGCTCCATGCTTGCAGGATGGTCTCCAGATTTCTTTGAGGGCACTCGTGATCGTTCATGATCGCTGAGTCGACCCGACGATCAAATGAGTCGACCCAGGTGGTGCCGGACGAATTCCTGGGCCTCGTCTCGCACACCAACTGGTGCCTTGGAGAAAGAACCGGTGCCCAAACGGGTGGATGCAAGGTGGCTGAGTCCCAAAGAGGTTCAAAGTATCGAAAGCTTCCAAAGTTGCATATATATTTCCGTAAAATATGGATGCAGGTCAGTGTAGTTTGTTTGGTTTCCTTTGTCAATGATGTTCTTATTTCTTCACCTCCCCAAAACGCTGTTCATTCACTAGTTCCCTTGGCCGCTGATTCTTGAATCTGAATTCTGGTTTAGACTCCCAGCATTCCAAGTGACAGTCTGCCATAGTCTACCTACCGGCATTTGGCACGTCCGAAACGCTGAGATGGTCGACATGTTCTCATGGCGTGGAACTAAATGGGCACTTGGCTCATGAATTCATGAAGACTTGGGATGGCTTCCCTCCAAATGCAACGAATTCGACCAAACTTGACTCCACCATTCAAAGAAGAACCCATAGCTGATGCCCAAGCGAATGGGACCTACTTGAAGTTCCGGACCCAGTGGCCGTTTCGCTGCGTTAACCCCAAGTGGCATGGGCCGTTCCTTCACAGCTCAGGTTCCTTCACAGCTGCGTGCGGCCGCGATGGGATGATGCACAGGTGACGGAAGATCCGCTTCGTGGTGTTTGCTGAGAGGCAACCCTTGGGAAACGGCAGACCCCTTGCGGTTAGGGGATACACTTGCGGTTGTTAGCAAGTGTTCAAACTTGCGCATGACAAGCAAAGGCCAATTGGCTTTATGATCAAAAACAGGGGCTGCTTGGGCGAATGTGTCCCCCGACATCTCTAGACTGTTTGAACTCCTGGGTAACCTCAGGGTTGTTTGCCAAAACAGTTTGTTAAATCCCGATGTATAGAAACCGGTTTTATTTCAGGAAGAGCAAGGGACAAATCCTGCGCCGCATTTGGTGTGCTCGCACACGTGATGTGCCTCTCAGAACTGGCAAACAAGCGAGTTGAGTTAGGAACCCCAGAAACCAACAAGCAGCCCTCCCAACCCAACCCAACCCCAACCAGACTAGGCAGAAACAGCTACAACAACAAACACTATAATTAATTAAGAAGTAAGGTAGAATAAGTAGACAGCAACAATATCGAGCCACTGCAACCCCCGCACACTTCCAAGGACTTCTAAGAAGCAACCAACCTCCACATCTCAATACGGTACTGAAATACATCCAAAGAGAACCAAAAAACACCATGCGTCAGAGGAGTCGATCCTCGTCGGTCAGACGCCACATGGGTGAATGTCGGTCATCCGATCTCGAGGTGATTCAAGCCTTTGAGTTTAGCTTTTGCCACTCGGTGAAAGGACCAAGAACGGTGTGAGAGAACTCATCAGACGTCAGCTGGGAGGTGACCGGAGATTGAGGGGGTTGGTTTGGATCAGTTCTGATCAGTTGTCCTTCGGGAAGGAACAGATCGGGAAGAATATGATGGCATGTGATGGCCAGTTCTGTGTTTTTGGAAGGTTTTTGATGGCAGAAAGACCCAGGGGGGCTTGCGAGCACGATAGTGTTGCCCACTTGACCACTGAAAAATCCACTGCCATTCCCGCACGAACATGCCAGGGATCGGTTTGAGGGAGTGATCGGATCGGTTGCAGTTCGCAGTTCCAAGAGTCACAGGGCTCCAGTCGTACCTCCTCAGGTTCGGTATGACTGGACCGGACCCTCTTAGAAGGTACGACTGGAGCCCTAGGGTTCTTGAGTGGGCCGGTGTTTTTCTTTCCTGACTTTACACCGATCCTGGGATCCTGGGTCGCAGCCGGCGGATCCTGTGCTGGAGTTTGGATCCATTTAGACACATCCCCGTTTGGACGTTCAAGAGCGTGCAAAGCGGGGATTCCTCTACTAGTTCCTATACTTAGTTCCTGTACTTTCATGACATTCTTGATCTAATTGCTGTTTATAGATCTGATTTAGTTAGGTTTTTTCACCAGAACGTCTCCTTTCAAAAGATGTCTTCCTGTGACCTGACGGTGTCTCCACCACCGGGTCCGTCTCCTTGTGGGTCGTGAGGTCTTCCATTCTCCGCACGGATGGCCACAGGCGGAGACAGCACGGGTGTCTTGCCGATGTCCCGTTGCTTTAAAGAGGGGTGAACCTATGGGTCCCCAGTGTTGGAGATCTTTTGGGATTGAAGTGTTTTGAAATACATGTATCAAGCACGCGAACTCAAGTGCAGCTACTTCTGGGGAGTCTCGCACCTCTTAGAGGTTCTTAGAGTGTTTGTGAGTAGTGAGGTATTCTTGGAAAGGAAGGGAGGTCGCGGAAATCCTATGAGATTCGATGAACAGAGCCAAACGATAGAACCATCTCAGATTTGACCGCATCAACTCAGTTAGAGAACTGTTTCCAAAAGAATTTGGGCAAGTGACCTTTCCCCTTGAAGAAATCATGACATACACATGCTGATCTTTTTGGTTATATATACATACTATATGTATGTTTGTATTTGTTTGTTTTGTGTTATTGTTTCTACAATAAAACATATTGTTGCGCTCTAAAACGGTCCCGCCTCACGGCCTTACTTGACTTGCAGGCAGCTTTCACTACTACTGGCCTGAGGAGCCGGCGTCCGACCAACCGCCGTGCTATTGTGCCACTGGGCGGCAAGAGCACCGGTTTGGGTGGTCTCCAAAGAGGTAGAACTAGGGGGGACCACTGTATATAGTATCTATATATTGGCAGTTTTTGGATTGCATATCTGTTCAAGGTCGTGTTCATCCAACGCATCGGTCGCATGTCGAGCATGTGTCGCTTCGTGGGCCGAGACTTGGAGACTTGGTAACGGCCTGGCTGTCTTCCGCAACAGTGCAGCAGACACTGATGCTCACTACTAGGAGCAAGGACGCTACTAGGGGCTCCTGGCCGTACTACTAGGAACAAAGACGCTACTAGGGGCTCCTGGCCTTACTACTAGGAGCAAAGTAACTGAAGTAGCATTCTATGATGGATTCGCTGGATGGGTCACAATAAAACAACAAATCTTGCATCCAAAATCCATCAGGTGATTCTTTCCAATATGCTTGATTTGCCGGCTTCTTATAAGAATATGGTTCCGCTTCTGTTTCTTTTTGGGGGGGTTTTGGAGGGGCGAGCCGGATGAGCAACGAAGATCACAGAGCATTCATGTTATGAGCCAAATTGCCATAAAGAGAGATTGAGGACACATTGATGATCATCGTTTCGTGTGTTTCCTAACTGAAACTCTCCGGTTGCCGGATCTGTTCACCCGGCAAAAGGGCTTCCAGTGGGTGCATTGGACGTGGCAGTCGTGGCAGTCCGTGTCGTGCCAGGGGCTTTGGACAATCGCAGAAGTTTTTTTGTTTTGACAATCTTTCAAGACGCCATTGGAAAACAAACTGAACTCTTTTCCAGACCCATGAAACATTGTAGAATGCCTTTCGGAGGTCTAGACTGACCCTTTCGTTATAGTCATTAAGATATCTTGTCATTAATCTTGGCAAGTCCTAATTCTTAGAATGAACACTTAACAGTTAACAGTGATTGGGCATACCGTCATACCCAAGGCAAACTCCTTCATTTGTAAATCTCAAGGATCCCCCATGCGAGATCGGTTTCCTCTGAGTGTCACATATGTTATTCTTCTAGATCTACCGTCTTTCATCACGCAGGGAAGCTACCATAGAATGAACACACGTACGTTTTTAGGTGTTCAATCGATGTATCAATTCGTACAGGGTCCACGCCTGGCTATGATGTGCTCCATGTTCCAGCTATTAAACTGGCGCTTCCAAGCATGTGTCGCGAGGTCCTCCCCAGCCATTTGCATGCTCGGGAGCTCAGTTTGCAGATGGGGTCTCTGCAGTCTCCAGTGCACACCTGGTGACGCAGACGGAGAAAGGTTTCTTCGTACTTCAACGGTTTTGGGATTATTTAAACCTGGCAGGTGTACACGCAGAAATGTTATAGATTGTTATGAGAACCAAACCATTCTGCAGTGCTTTACTTTGAACAAAACAACCGAACTTGATCGCTGTTCACATAAAATGGTGATGGTGGCAAGACACGTCACTGGTGACTTACTATAGTGGTTCCGAAATAAATAGAAACGTAGATCCCACTCAGAATGTATTGGACAGCGTTTCTTTCTATTTGGGGACCACTCTGGTGGGCAAGAGTCCTTTTCCTTGGTGACACCAGTGACACGGCCGCATGGGGCGATCTAGCCTTCATTACAGTTATTGTTTATTTGGTAGATGCTGGGTGGTGTGTTATAGGGTGATCTTCCATCAACTAGGGATACCATCAAGGACACCACAATGCCCATCAAAAGCTTGGGTCAGTCTTCTTCGGCTGAGATCTACAATGTCAGCGGGACGCTGCCATCCTTGCCGCTCCGCCATGCCTTTCAACGGGTCGTGGTCGTGGTGTGGGCTTCGCTTGCAGTGGGTCGAAATAGCGGTGACCTTGAAGAGGAGTCCCCTCCTATAGCTAATATGCTTGTGGGTCAAGACCCAGCCCAAAGCCTTGGTAGGTTGACCTCCATGGTAGTCTGGTAGTCTATTCTGTTCATGTTCGGTGGGAAAAAAACTGGGTCCCTGGTTTTGACCCACATATAAATATATAATCTATATGAATACAGGATAATACGGGTGTCCTTTTTTTGAATTCGCTCAATCACGATGGCACCAGCTCCAACTTGTATGGCCAGTAGAGTAACTGCACAGCTTTGGGTTGTCCCCGGTGCCCTGATGACCCTTGGGCTCGGGGCGGGCGAAAACCACAAACAAGACCAACATGCACTTGGAGAATTGGATTTCACGGCGCCCTTGAACTAAAAGCAACTGAATCCAAGTTATTCCAAGACTTCAGAAGGGGTGCTCTTGGGATAATGATGGTTGAAGAAAGGAACGTTGCAACACTTGGAAAAAGTTGAAGCTCGAGCAACTCGAGTCTGAATGTTTGAGTGATTGAGACTCGAGACTCAAACCTTTCAAGATTCAGTGCAAAACAGCTTTGACAGATAGCGAGAACAAATGAATACAGAGCAGGCGATCATGGCCATTGGCATTGCACTTTGATATTGGGTAGAGAACGCCAACAATGCACGTTTGCCTTGGTCTGAGAGCAGTTTTCAACGTTGCTGCATGGTATTTACAGTTTGTTAGAAGGGTTTTGAGATAGAGTGCCTTCTTTCAGGCACAGCCGCTCTCTAGAACTTCAGGGCCAGCTAGTTGATTGCGCCCGTACAAGTCTTCTCGTTTTCCGTAAAAGAAGCACACCTCAACCAACAGACTTCTTATTTACTGCTCGGGACCGCCTGGTTGGTGTGTCAACCGCCTGGTCCACCGACGGGACGGCATGCGCCAGGTTTGTGTGGTTCGGCGGCATCGCCGCCTTTCTTTTAGCCTTTGGCCTCGGCAAGGCCAGGCACTTGGGATCGCAGCAGTCTGCAGTCTGCACAGCATCGATGGTCTGATGGTCACCCACAGTTTCGGTTTGGCTCCAGGAACTTGAAGATCTGAACCAATCGTTTTGTGTCCGCAAGCCAGTTGGAGCCTGGTTTTCTGTAGCAGATTTGGAGTTCACAAGAATGTGGGTCGTCATTTGATTGGAGTACAACGTTGTTGCCTCGCCCCCACGAGTGAATGAGTGAGCTGGTGTGTCTTTGGGGCTCTATAACTAAAGGTTGAACACACACACACATAGAACAGAAATATCATACTGGTGCTTGGCCCATGATGAATATCATCAGGTTTGCCCTGCCCCGGAACGGAATCTTCAGTACATTCTTCATCAATCACAGTTTTGCCGTTCACCTGGAAACAACACACAAGCTGTGAATGAGCCTTTTGTAGCACGCTTCCCCACCCAACAGGGCAACCACAAGCCAAAAGCAAAGAGAAACTTTGTACTTTTGGGCCGCATCTCATTTGTACGGTTTCCTATCTTTACCTGCTTTCCTGCTTTCATCCTTTTTCTACAATATCATATCATAATAATATCTATATTCAGTTTTTTCTCTTCCAATTGAGATTCTTCCCCTTCAACTCGACTCACCCGGTCAAACCAACCGTGACGCGTGGTCTTCCCTTTCCAGGTGACGCGGCAGACGCGTGTGGCGGCCTTGTCCGCGGGGCGCTTGACGATCCCCAAAGCCGTGGCCTACTTCGCCGGGAGAGCCCAGATGCGACGGAACCGGGGGGGGGTTGGTAATCCAAAGCAGATGTATCCGTGGTGGCCAGTTATTTGAAGTACGTACTTCACATTTAGAACCTGAAGTCAACATGTGTGCACATCCGTGTACCCGAGAGAACGATCTGGCAAGGAGAACACATGAGAAAACGATCGAGTTGTACCCCCCACCCATCCCTGGCAGCCAGGACAACCAGCTGGGCATGGGCCGTTCGGCGGCGCTCCGGCGGCACCGGCCACGCATCCCCAAGGCGTGGTTTAGGGTGAACCGTTGACCCTGGCACTCCCAAGCTTAGCTTTGGCTATGGAAGCTGGTCAAGTGGTTTACCAGTGGGGATTCTCATCAGATTGAACAAAGAACATGAAAACAGATCTGTTCTACTAGGTGGTAGGCCGTAGCCGACCGGAGCTCATGTGGGGGGTGAATTTGTTCATGTTGGGGTCAAAAAGTGGATGACCCTTCATCCGTGAACCTGGGGCTCATGTTCAGAAAATATCAGATGAGTTCGTACCTGTGGTATTCCTTGTCCGAGGACCTGAGCTGAGGAAGTAGCTCGTGAAACGTCAAAAACACTTCACTTCAGACATAAAAAACAGGGCCATGGAGTAAGCAATTATCGCCTACATTTTTGGTGGCTTGTTGTTATATTATATTTACGTACATGGATCCTTATGGGGAGTTGACATCTGCGAAACATAAACGTTCAAATGGATCCTTCAAGAATCTTGGCTGAAGAATACGAGGGTCGGTCCAGCAAGAAAGCAAGGAATAGTCACTGAATAGGCAGTCAAGAGTTGAAAGTCATCATGATATGGGGGAACAGCTCACTATCCATTTTTTTGAGTTTGGGGGACTGGAAATATATAAATATTGTAAGATACCGAGCGAACAGTGAACTCTACTAAATAGGTTGTTTTAAGACATTGGTCTCCGGGTTACATTCTAAACATGAACTGGTGGACAAAGTCCAAATTCTACATGAACGTACTGCAGATGTATATTATATATATAGATCGACACAAACCATTCTCTGATGCGTTTGAGAACAGACTCTGACTCGAAGAAAGGACGACAGCATCATGCATTGGATCCGAACTTGAACATTCAATGAAAAGGCAGACGCAGTACATGTTGTCCTCAACTATGATCCAGAAACTTCCATCAAAGGATCAAAGACGATCATTCAAAGGATCTCCACTGGCGGCACAACACGGTTCAGAATAGCTTCCGATTCCAACTAACACCTCCCGATGCTGATGGACTGGTCCCTCCCCAAAAAACTCTTTGGACTGGCATGCTCCGTGCCCAGTGCTCCTCTCACCGACACCCATCCGCCAGGGGCACTCGGGCTTATCGGCGCCGGGGGAGAGCACTGAGATTGTGATCCCTTTGGAGCCGCTGGGCGTTTCAGAGCCGCTTCGGGGGTGAATCCATTGGTACCAAGGGAAGGAACAAAAGCGACCCACGCTATAGCGGAAGAGGGAACAACGGAATATATACATATAATATATGAATATGTGGTGAGTCAAAACCTGAAGCCCTAATCCCTAGTATGTTGACCTTCCTGGAAATTATGTTCATTTTTTGTGGTATCTAACTGGATCAGAGCTGCTGATGGTGACTTTGCTTAGCTATGAACAGCGATCCAGGACTTGTATATCGGAGTTTTGTTCGGCCACTGCCGTAGGGTACCGGGTCGAAAGATATAAATCTGAGTATCCCAGTGCCGCCATAGACAGGAAATCTACGGTGTTCATTTTGGTATATTTTGGTGTTGCAGGTGAATTGGTCCATCACCAGTATTCAAAGTGTGCAACAACATAAAAGCTTCGGCGCACCTCATCCAGAATTATTCTATGTGTTTGAAAAAAAGCTGGAGTTGATGACTCTGCGCTGTGGAAAAGGATGAGTCACCCTGAGGTGGCTTCCAATCAATCAGTGTCGAAAAAGCTTCGGACAGACCTGGACTCTGGACCGATGTTCTTTGTAGGAAGGATCGTGCCCAGGAGACATGCAACGCAAGGCAAATCTCTGAGAATCAGGTCAAGAGTTGGACTGCTACGGACACGGTCCGGCACAATTCGTCCTCGGCGGTGTCGAGCGGTCTGAGTCAGAGAGGTGAAGGATGCTGTGAATGTGGCCAGCTTGGAGTTGAGTAAGCATGGTTATGCTGTGAAAATGCATGTCACAGCGTCGAATACCGTCGAATGATTTGATAGACAGCCTGTCGCGCTCTGGCCAAACCAAGTGTGGTGACCTAGACTTTTGTGAGAACAAGAATGCCTTCAAGTTGGCAGATCATGAATCTGTGAGGTTTGGTTGGGTCATCACAGGGTTCTTCTTCGCATGTGGAGGCTGGGGCCCAGGTGTGTAGGATCACATGTTTTAGACTCGCCGGATCCCAGCACCTCAGCAAAGCCTCACAAGTACCCGTTAACTGGCAAGTACAGGTTGCTGGCAAGTCGATTGGTCAAAAAGATGATGGCACCTTTCGCATATCAAAGCCAAGACATTCCGCAGTTTTGGTGCTTGGCATCACAGCTTTTCTTCCTTCGCTTCGTGCAACTACTTTTTAAGCCACATGTCTGGAAGTGTCAGACAAAGTAGGGCAACTGTTTCTGCCCTTGAAGGCGCGAATCAATTCCTGGAGTAGCTAGGAGATTAGTTTATTTTTTCTCATTAACACTAACACCACCTAAGTTTGTAATATTTTTGACGGGCAATAACCTCTTCATCCAGAGACATCTTTTGTATTTCGAGGCTCCGCGCTTTTGCCAATGACCCACGGCGGCGGATGGGCACAAATGAGGCGGGGCGACTGGGACTAGGGAGGGACCTTGGCCTCGTGGGCGGCATCTGGGTCCAAATCCAGGACGCCGGTCCACCCTGCAGAATAAATATGATGGATTGGCCGAATGGCAAAAATTGGAAACACAAAGTTCAGTTCTAAGATGTTCCTCAGTATGCAAACAACAAGTGGATCAGTGTATTGGAATATGTTCTTCTGACTTTGCTTTGAGACCCAGGGAATACGTTTCCCGTGCTGGCGATGCAAGAAACAACACACAACTACCATGTGCGAAGAGGTTGGATTCTCAGAGTTGGACAAGGCAAGTACATTCTAAGAAGGTGATTTTGGGTGGTGCCAGGAGGGTCCACATACCTTCTGAGGAGGTACTTGGAGCCCTAGGGATTGACAATCGCCTACGGACCCACGTTTGTTCTTGTTTCTCTCTGGCCACAGATCCACTGGATTTTGTTGGCATGTTCCTTTGAGAGATGGACCTATGTTGTGGCGCACATCTATGATACAGAGAATGCATGAGAATGCTATATACTACTAAGTTACTACTGTAAGAGGGAAAAACATGCATTTGACCCAAACAACATACACAGCGTTCATTTCACACCGCTTGTCTAACATCTCTGCAAACCACATCAACTGAAGGTCCAAGGTCAATGAATTACACTGAACTATGCGCTGATGGGACCCCTCCAGGCGGAACTCAGCTTTGGGAGAACATCCTGGATACGCCATGCCCCTTTGGTGAGAACTACTGAGTAACTACTGACTTCGTTGTGGCATTTTGTTTCCACGAGGTTGCCAAGTTGAGAAATTGATGGGTTTGGACCAAACTGTACCTGGCAGCTTTCTGAGCGCGGTCTCAGCGTGCTGACCGAAGTGCAACCAGATGTCAAACAATCACGAAATCGGAACATGAAGGTACGGTCAGCAAAAGAGTTTGCCTTGGTGTTGACTGAAGGGTTTGGCTCAGGGCGTGACCATCACTGTGAAGTGCAAGTCTCAGCATTGCGAGGCGCGGAAAACCACTGGTGCGTGGAGGGAAAGGAACTGCCGATGGAATTTGGACTGACGGACTTCAAAAGACTTTTCTTTTGCCAGACCTGTGATTGATGGTCCCACAGTTGCTGGCCATACCCATTTAGTCGAAGTAGGGCTCAACAATTCAATTACTATATGAGTAGAGTCCAATCCAAGGCATTTGTGATTGTTCAGTGACATTTCATCCATGTTTTTGGAAGGAGCGTGAAGGAACCCTTTAGATCGAAACCTTGTGTGGCGCTCTGTGGCGATCATTTTGTTGTTTTCTCGAAGCCATTGACCTTCAAATGATGAGCAGAATATGATATCGCCTTGCCGCTGCAATCAACTCAGGAACTCTGAGGTGGATGGCACAAGCACTGTCTCCAGTGTGCCATTTTAGTTTGTCAAACAACCAGGTGAAGAAGCCCCCCCACAACGCTGCTGTCGGACAAATTTCACGGAAAAAGACGAGTTCAAGTCACTGTGACGTCCAGCTCGAGGCACTCGATTCAAGCCCGAAAAAGAGTGATGGCAGGGTTCATGGTGTGAAAACAATGTGATGAAAAGCTAAGAGGTTTGATGAGATGGTCAACTGCTCTTAAAAATGCTTGGAACCATGCACCTGTGTATGCTGCATCCTTGTTAAGAAATGTGGCATGGACATTTTTTAGTTGTTTTACATTTCCTAGGTTTTAGGAGCCTTTGTTGCTTCAAGACAAGACTTCAGGACAGTTTGTGTAGTAGTTGCGGTCATGGCTGTTGTGAAGGCACCTTGAGACGGCTTGAGAACAGTTCATCTTGCTCCGATGTATATGTTTGAGTTGTTCAGCATTTGTCCTCCTGTTTGCAAGCCAGCCTGACGGGTGTGTACGCCTGTGATGGTTTTTTGCACGTGTTTTCGCTTTTGCACGTGATGGTGTTTCGGTCATGGCAGAAGCAATTCCACTTCATACCCGTATCTCAATTCCAGCGCTACCTCACCTTAATTGTAGATGAAAACTAGCACTATAGCTATGTATTAAAATAGGGGGACCTCCGGACCTCCCTGGAAGAAGAAAAATAGACCAAAACCCCTAAAAAACACCCAAAGGTCGAACTAGGAAGGGTCACCGGTGAATCAGGCCGGTCGCTGTCAACGTTTGACGCGTCAGGTGATCCAGCAGTTGGTCATCAATGCTTGGGCCGCCGGAGCCCTGGTCGAAGTGTCCAGTCGCTTTGGACATGAAGTGGACCCTGTAAGCCCTGGTTGAGCGCTGAGATCTTTTTTGAGAATCCGCATCCATGTCCGTTTCCACCAAGAATCTGATGATCATTGACTGATGTAATGTATTTAGTTATTCATGTTTATTTGTTCATCTAAGAACTATTCCAAGTCTTATTCCATCTATTAGGTCCATAGTTAAGTCCATCTATTCCTTTTCTGGCTGAGACATAGTGAGACCATGACATGTAGGCATCGAAAAGGATGGGATTCCAGAGGAATTCCAACGGCTCAACGGGCTCAAAAAGGGCTCAACGGCTTCGCTAATCATGATTCTGAAGCTGTTGCATACCATGCACCGGGGTACTTCTAAAGCAAAAAAAAGAACACCTTCGGGAAAGAGATGGGTTCAGAGTTTCGCGTAAACACACATTTATGGAAATCCTTTTAAAGTCAACGATGTTAGGTTTCATCACCACTGGAATTTCCTCGTCACATCCAGCGCTAGTCAGTGGTGGATCGACCTTGGCACCGCGGTCGACGCACACGCGACACGCCCTCCACGCCCAGGTGCAACAACGTCTATTAGAGAATCATGTCCTCGCAGAAGAGAGGCCGTCCCTGGATTGCTCGTCCGGCTTTTTTCACGGGTTTGCGTGTGTGTCGCTTTGCACGGATGTGTTTTTGGGTGTTCTGAGATGCAGAAGAGGGTCTTTTGAAGAGGTGTTTCAGTAAGGTTTACTGTAGGTGGGTGACTCGGGGGGGTTTACCTACCTTCGGCAGATCAAGTTAGAGCACCTATAGGACCTAGGGGGAAGCCACCGGAAGAGTGGTGGTGGTTGTTGCTGCCTTCGTGGATCCGCAATCGAATAGCCTCACCATCATCACATTGTTGCACGCAGGTGATGAGTAGTGAAGTCTTAGGTGTGTTGTGCTGGGTTTTCATCAGGCATTGCATTTAACGTTTTTAGGCTGCCTTTGGTTTGGTGGGCTGGAACAGCTAGTGGAAAGGCTGCAGTCACACAGCCAAAGTGACAAAGTGATACAAAGTGAATATAGACGAAGATACTATAAGTTGGATTCCTTCCAACAAAAGAGCATGCATGCTGATTTGACCACTGCCCATTTGCAGTGTTTTGACATATATATATATATTAGGTGCTTTTAGTTCGAGCCCAAGGCAGCCCTTCCTAAAATCGCAGGCCAGACATGGTGGGTTTTCGGTGAAGGCGACACCCTGACACCGTAAGCCGAGCATCCGATACGATCATTCGCAATTTATCGAGCATCCTTTCTAAGCACACCGGACTTTGCAGCTTTGCTGCGTAGTGCAAACATGTTCACCTGACATATATAGTTTCTATGTGTTTCTGCTTTGTTGAGGTGCATTTCTTGTTCTGGAATGTGTCAGGAACCACTGAGGATAACAAGATAACAACAATTTGTTGGGCCTGCGCGGCACAGCTGCCAATAACCAGAACAGGTTGTGCGCCGTGCGCCAGAGTTATCCCTCCAAATGGTTGATTTAAGATATTTAGTCGTCTTGATATTGTTTGGCTGCTGAGTTTTTTTTCAGCTGACAGGTGCCTAGCCCTGCGCTGGAACCAATGGCAGGAGGAGCTGCATTGAAGCTAAAAGACTGATCGGGCAGCGGTGCACATAAATCAAATCAACAAACACAGTAATATCATATATATATATAGGGCTACCATGGGCTACCATTGGTTGCCTGCCAGAGAAAGACTCAGGACTTCAGACACGTGTGCTTGGTGAACATGGTAAGTGCTCAAGGTCCAGTGCTTCCTTTTCAGAGGGCTGCGTGTCGCTGTACGTCATGGTCGCACGTCCTGTTTCATCCAAGATAGATTACTGCCATTTCAACAACCACGGTCCTCTATCCAACCATAGTCTTTCGTGGCTTCGAGTCCTTCCTTTCCGCATGGGACGGCATGGAGATGCCCAAGGGGAGGGACACATTTTAGCGGATAGGAGCGGATCGACCAGCACCCACACGGAGAGATGTTTTGGACGAACATGGGTCATAGGGAAGAGAGGCCAAAGGCCAGTGCCTGGTGCCTAAGATCTGTTACAATCATTTGGGAGCCCACTAGCATGGTGCATGCCAAGGCTCCTTTTCCATGCCAGATGTTTGATGAGCAACAACTTTAAGACCCTTAGGCCTCCGCGCTCCCTCATCCCTCTACGGATGTGTTCTCCTTGTTGGCCTGTTGAACTCGTAGCCTTGGTTGAGGTAGGTGGAAGTATCTATAGAGGTTTTGACTCATAGACTCATAGATGCTCATAGACCCAAGTGCAACAAGCTGATGAATGTATGTAACTCCAGTAGACTAAAGCTCAAAGTGTTCTGCCAAGGTCAAGGCAAAACCTCATAGTGTCGTTGTGGTGTCGATTCGCCACCCCAATGTGCTGCGCGTTGTGTGCGGTTGTGTAGCACGAGCGCAAGCACCAGCATCGACGTGCGACGGTTTTAGAGACGGGACTCGCAGAATCTGGAGGATGATTTGCGGCAAATCTCACCTGGCGGAAAGAACGACTGTTTCCATTTTCTCTATGTGTGTTCAATGTTATTGTCCTTAGAGCAAAGGAGGTCTCAAGTGAAAAGAGGGACGCGCATATTTGGCGTGTTCCAAGATTCCAAGCTCAACCAATATCCAGATCTTTGCGTCTTTGCATGTTCCAGACCCAGACCCGTCGGATGACACCTTCTCCAGGACACCTTCTATGTGGCGGTGACGAACGTGTGGCGCCGTGCACTCGAGAGCTATCATTTGTGGGTGCGGAATCTCAATTGGCCACGCACCATTCGACTGGCACGGTGGATCAATGGGGACTGCACGGTCTATCGATTTGCAAAGGGGGTTTCAAATGATTCTCTACAAGGTTGGGTGGCACTGCTGATGTGTGGCTGATGTGGCTATTGTCGGGTCAATTCCGAATCTAAAGATCCTAGCAGTTAGTGCTGGTATTGGGGGCCTGCATAAAAGCAGTCTCGCAAGAAGTTGGATCTCATGCATCAGAAGCCCAGAGGATCCAAGTACGTAAATATTACCTACACTCACAACCAAACACCACCAGTCACGTATATCGGCGATATTTGCTTGCATGGATCGTCTGGGAAGTGTTTTCTCACATGTTTTTTCAAAGTTCAGGAAATCTTTGGGATCAGACAGTTTGGGAATCCAGACATCAGAACCTGAAAAATGGGTCGTTTTCGTTCCCCCGCCAAAAACGATGGACGCCCTGGTCCTTGTCCAAGTCGCTCCTCAGTCAACCACGCTGCAGCCCACGCCGCGCCCCACGCCCGCCTCTGCCCGCCGCCGCCTTCACCGCCAGGTGGGCCAGGCGCCGGGCAGCCGAGACAAAGGGGGCCGGGCACCGTCCTCGCGGTCGGTCCTCCTGATTTCATGTGCACTCCAGGCTTGAAGTTGCTTGGAATAGGTCCCTGAATAGGTCCCTCGCCGCTCGCAGGATGGAATAGGTCTCCAAACTTGACAACCTTGCTGTTGGTGTTGGATTGATACTTTATTGTATTCAAGCGTATTCAATGTACGTATGTTATTCTACGTTATTCTACTATATCCTACGTGTATGAGTTCATGTATTCCACCATACTATTTGTCAATGTTTAAGAGTGAACCCCCAGAAGCTCTACTGCCCATTAAACATAGATGCATATCGAGTTGCGCTACTTACTGGCCCCCCCTGACCACACTGACAAGTGGCGTCATGCATCTACTCCCCACCAGGGCAAACCAGGAAGATCAGTGCCGATTGGGGAAGCTGCTCCATCCTGATTCTTTGTGATAAAGTTGAATCTTGGAAAGAAT